AGCAGATTTTCGACTCAGACCTCAAAGGGGCGTGGCATTATAACCACGTGACATTTACTCCGATCGCCAAAAATTTTATGTTATATTGTAGATTGATCTATATGTTATCCATTCTATGTGTTAGACTTACGATAAAAGTAAAGGTGGAGATACCAGAGAGCTTCAAAGTAGGATGGTACCCCCCCCAAAAAAACTGGGTCGAGTCACCTTAATAGTTGACGGAAAACACCTCAAGCAGAATTTGCTTTTCTAGTAGTTTTTTCATTATTTCTTTCTTTTTCTTCTGAAAAGCAAATCTTGTGAGTCTAGAAAATTTTGCATATAGATATCTTGTCTTTGCGTGCTCGTGCTGCCGAGACAAACGAAACCACCGAAGGTGAACAGGTCAGGGAAATAGCATTAAAACATTTTTTTCCCGGCGGGGAGGGGTACTCCACATATGAAAGGGGTGGGGATGCTCGTCGGAAATTTTGAATTAAACCCCTAAAGGAGACCCATCTGGGCGTGGCCCAAGCTTTTTTTGATCCCTAAAAGAGACCATGTTAAAACACAGACAAATGAGAAAACTTGGATTATATGAATGGAGTTAATAAAACGAATTAAAAATATTCATATCAAATATATATTTTTATATTTTTCCCCGTGCAACCCTAAACGAGACCTTCACGGCTAAATATGATGGCGTTTTGCCCAGAACACCCTAAATGAGTCCAAAATCCGAAATTTACACCCCTAAGCGAGACGACGAGCATCCCAACCACTTTCATATGCGGAGTACTCCCCCGTTTTTTTTTAAAAAAGAAAGATTTTAAAAATATTGATTATATAATGAACTTTGTTTCTCAAAAGTGACTGTTGGCTGCTTAGTGAATTGCCTTGTTGTGCTCCAGCACAGCTGAAATTGAAAAACGAACACGGAAATGATATTTTTGATGTGGAGGGGTTTCTTTTGCAGCAGAGCTACAGGCGGCTGTATTGATCAAGGAAGAAGGACCAAAAACGCGCGTGCGAACTCTTCTTACTTCGTTCTTATCTAATCAGATACTTGCAACGACATTAATACTCGGGAGAGATTTTGAGAGATTTTGAACAATTGTTACGCAGAATTTTGGAAGGTAAACAAGGTGTATTGACACTAGTGTGGGTATATGACACAATTACTTAGTACTTAGCATTAGATTTGCGAGTTATCAAGGTCAAACCAGGCTAAACTCGTTCAAATTCTAGCATATAATCGGCGAGTAGCTGTAATTGCACTTTTTTATCGGAGAAGAACAAACGTTTTTCCTATTTGGCGAAAAAGATGATTGACCCTGTCAATTAGGAGGATAGCGTTTAGTCGTTGTATTTTCGCTTTGTCAGGGAAAAGCCCTGGGGACGAGGTTGCTTAGATAGTTTAAATTTTGAAGGGTAAAAGTGTGATCATTGAGGCGGGCAAGAGGGCTACCCTCTTCCCTCCCTCCCCCCCCTTGCCTACCAATAACCCCAGTCGACTCTAGTATGTCTCATAAAAACCAGGTAGGCAGGGTCCTCTGACCTGATTTTTAACACTTACACGAGGAACGTTCTTTGTAGAATCTAAATATTTCAAGCTTACTAGGAACAGACGCGTAGCCGACGCATTGAAAAACACCACAGGAGCTAGTGGAAACACGGTAGACATGGAAACGGTTCTAAAAATCAGTAAACTGTTTTCTGAGTTGAAACCTCAACTTTGTCATTTAAATGGTGATAGCTCTCCCCCAGGCCCTCCCGGTCCACCTGGACCGAAGGGAGACAAAGGATCCCGGGGACGAAGAGGACAGAAGGGACGAACATGAAACAGAGGAGATCAAGGCATTGTGGGATCGCCTGGAATGAGCGGAAAGCAAGGCATCATGGGACCTATGGGTCCGAAGGGTGATGTTGGATTCAAGGGACCAAAAGGAGACATATAACTGTTCAGCGGTTAACATTTTAGGACAGGCGCGGGCATTGGTACAGCTGATAGTAAATGGTAAGACCTTTATGAAATAAACAAAAGAATAAATAGTAAGAAACAAATTTCGGAGATCCTGCTGTCCTTACATTTTGCTTCGGATAAATTATTTCAAACTAAAGTAGAAAAAAAAATGTTACAAAACTGAATATCTTAATTATATTGTTGTTGCTGTTTTTTCTTCAGAGCCATTTATGTCCTCAGCTCTGTCGTAAAAATGCTAGAATCCTCTAATCAATAAAACCAAGGCAAAAGAGTCAAAATATTCTCTCTGTTCCAGTTCACCCTAGAGTTTCCCTTCATCCGGGACCTCATTGTGCTATTGAAGAAAGTAATTATACTCTCCCATCCTGTCACGTGACTGGGTATCCTACCCCTGTGGTCTCATGGAAAAAGTCATCCGGTCCATTACCCCAGGGAAGAGTGAAATATAACAACAGTGCATTACAAATTCTTCATCTACGTAAATATGACTCTGACGTGTATTTCTGTTCAGCATCAAACTTGCTAGGACGCGTAGAAAAGAAAATTCTCTTAGTTGTTGTCTCTCCTCCTCGGTTTACTGTAAAACCACCAGCTAAAGTTGTCGCGTGGGTTGGTAGCACTTTAAGGTTAAACTGCAGCGCTACTGGCGATTTACAACCAGTCATCAGCTGGAAAAAACAAGGAGGTCAACTGCCCGTTGGGCGTAGTCAGCAGATAAATGGCGATTTGGTGATAAGAGACATATCAAAGAACGATAGAGGAAATTACATTTGTATCGCAACGAATGCAAGAGTGTTTGAGGCTGAGACTGTCACATGCACTGAAGTGGAAGGTGCGATTTTATATGAGGCATTTAGAATATAAACGTTTTAAAAGACAAGTTAACGTAAATTTGATCCAATTTTGCGCTCTGGCTTTAAAAAGGGCAGGGGGAGAGCGACGTTCCTTTTTTTTTCTTTCATAGGTATTTCACTTAAGTAATTGTTTATATATTCTTTGGACATATGTTGGTGAAGTTTAAAGACTACGAGTAGTCTCTCTCTTTTCTTGGTTCTTTGTCCCTCGTGCAAAACGCACGAGACACGCAAATGACCACACGCGTGACTGAAGGCGCAAGATGGGAAAGGTACGAAAAAAGCAACTTTCTTCTCGGGCTGCCTTTCTCTTTTCTCACGTCTCGACGCTCTCGCGCGCGTGGCTCTTCACTAAATCTGAGAAAAAGAGAGACTATGGTTGCTTACCATTTACACAATACGACCGAGCGGAAATCTTGTCCAAAAACAACAGCAAGAAAAAAACAAACTATAAAATTTTACGTGGTGGGAGAAAGACCCGCTAAAATGAATGTCCCAATCAGCTAAACAGACTAGAAAGAATGCAAAAATTGCATCCCCTCAAATCACAGCCCATATTTTCTTAGGCTACCCAAACGGAATGGTGCGAACCATTTGATTTCCCATCCAGAATTCCGGATCTCCATGTAAATGGTAAGTAGATTACCTGAAATACGGTTTTACATAAAGTGAGGTCAAGTGATTTTCAGAGCGAGTGTGCGATTTGTTCGCACTTTTTTGTGCTAAAAAATGGTTTTATAATTCAAAGGTGTTCGGAAATCATGCTAAAATAGCCACTATGTCTTAAGATGTTTTAATTTTTCAAAAGCGTCCTACGCCATAATATGTTCAACAACTTGTAGAACTCATAGAAAATACTGAAAAACTCCAGTAAGTAATGATACCTTAAAAAGTTAATTTAGGTGGAGATACGGAGTATGTTTCAGAGTTGGGTAGAATCGGTGGAATAGGTCTAGAATAAAGTTTTGAAGCTGTTTAAATTAACGTTTTTTTAAATTTTATTTTAAGCTTGATAAAGCACTCCTGCTCTTTTTACATAATTGCCATATCGTCTGTTTTGTTTTACGTTATCTTTTGAAGAACGCATCTCTTCATCCATTATTCTTGCCAGCCTTGACAGCAAGTACCTCATTAAGCTGAGTTTATATTTAGACCCAGTTCTTCAGAGTCCAGGTCGCAGCAGGTTTGTGTCGAGGTGTTGGCAAGGTAAGCCGGACAGATGGTTGGGCGTCATCAACATTCCACACTAACTGTGATGGAAGGGGTCCCACTGTAACCATCGTCCAAGTTGGTGGTTACGTATTTGGCGGATACGCTGACAAGTCTTGGGGTGGTATGTATTATTTCTTAATCGAACACAGATGTTCAGCGTTCTCGTGTGGACGGGGGCGAAAATGATTCTAACACGCTTCGTGTAAGCGCATACTTTTTTGAAAAAGCGGAGATAAATTTATCTTAAATTTCCAAAAACATCCCGATGCGTGTGGACTGATCGTAAATTCAGCGTGTATTTTTAACCAAACGCCGTTTGGTTAAAAATACAACAACAATAACTAAGCCGCATGGGCTGTTTTATTTCGAATTTTTTCTCTTTGGAGTATTCTGTTTGTCTCTTAAAATGTTCTGATAAACGGTTTGAAAGTATTGAAATGCTTTCACACCAAACAATTGGTAAAAAGTTGTAATGTTGATGTCCGTGACAGATTGTTCTAATGGAACTAAATGAAATAACTAACTTGTTGGGTAAATAAAAACCAAAGCGAACATACCTGAAATTTTATTTTTTCTACAAGAGTTTACTAGGAGCTCTATAATGTACAGGACAGTACTTTTTGAAAACTTAACTGATTTTAGGTGAGGACTGGTGTATTGCCTGGCTTTGTTAAACGTTATAGCATATTCTATTAGAAAGGTTTTAAGGTGAAAAACATCCAACTTGACACACAAATAGCTACAAATATTTATAGCTGTCATTGTCGCCCTTGCTACGTGAAGTGTTTTGAATAATTTAAATTAATATCTGAAAAATGTTTTCCCACAGGTTCTTGTCGTTATGTCTATACAAGTAAATCGTTCCTGTTCTCGTTATATAACATCAATGGCTACGCTCCTGTGAAGGTGAACATCAAGTCAAGTAGTTACAGTCACGCTATTTACACATGTTATGATAAGGGACCATCCTTAACTTTGGTAACGGACACGACCTATACATATCCAACAACGCTGCAAGTAACCACCTTTCCGCCACTAACTGTGGCAACACCTACCCTCTCCCCCCTGGGTACTCTGCATCTGGTTCCCCCTGTAGATTTTATGCTGGTGGATCCAGCTCCCAATTCACTCCCACTGATGTTGAAGTGTTTTACGAGACAACAACTTAAATCCTGTAAATGTAGATCACGTCTGCCAATCCAAGCAGTAACATGAATACATATATGGACGCGGTTTCGTAGACTCCCAAAGGAGAGTGTTTTAAATGGAGGTTTTACTTTCAATTAAGTAATAACAGTCTTTTAAAATAAATTCCGAGATCGACCAGGTGACAGTGAAGATTCACAAGATGCTGTGTTCTGCGCATGTTGGAGCTTTTATCATGGGCTTTGAGGCAAACCATTGCATAGCAACGAATTTCAGTATTCAGGCTTTAGAGTGATTAGCATATGGTTAAAATTTTAGTCCACTGGGTTAAGTTTAAGCTGTCCATATCAAGGTACCGATGTATTAAGAGAAACTGTTTGACTGTTACGTATATTGTCGGTAAGGTACCTTGCTTGCCTTACTCATAACGTGTACACATAACTGGCCATTGTTTGCTTCATGCACAGTTTTTTTTTCAATACATAACATGAAATGCTTTTAGATGCTACAATAATTTCTACCTTTATCCGAAGTCGTAATCTACCTTTCTATTAGAAATTGACTTGGGAATGGTGCATATACGTGATATATATTCATGGATCGAAAAATAAAACGAAAATGAAATAAATCAAATAAGTAAGGATCACATTTGCGCAATCGGGCCTTGACCAGGATGCCACAACCCAAGAACATCTAAAATTCTAATTAATTTGTAATCGCATGTTTTCACCGATCAGTTGTTTATTTTAAGATCGCGGATTTTTTCTGGAATTCAGACTTTTGCGCAAACCCCACAAACCTATGAAGGAAGGCGCTGTCTGCTTAATTTTGTGGTTTAGTACCAGTGAGTACGGGAATTGGAAGCTCATTTTAAAAGTTAACTTCCAAAAAGCATTTTAAGCGGGTTATCAACATCAAGAAGATGAAAATTAAGTTAATTTAATTTGCTTGGTTTTGGTTTCACGTATGCGTTTTACTTAATGGATAGAAACCTTTTTTTAAGCAAATAGATGGTACACGCGGTACACCGTTACAACGCCAATTCCACAACTTTTAAAATATACTCTCTTTATAACGAGTAATAATACTTGATTAGCTTTCACGGAGCGCGTATTAAGCCTATACATGTGTGCAGACGTTTGAAGGGAATAAACGAAAGAGGGATCTAAGTCCGGGACCTCGGGGGGGAGCCTCGCCGTATAAACATTTGTTGAGTACCCCACCCCCCGCCTTCCCGGGAAGTAAGACGCGTAAGCGCGGGCGAGCCAGTCTCGTTTATCTTTAAAAGCTTGTCACGCAGGTTGGGCAGGAAAACACCTTTTACATTAATTGATCACGTGATCAACCTTTGGTAAACACGAAAACAGTTCGCTTTTGAAAAATTTTGTTTGCATGAGCTGAAAGTAGGTAACCCGTAAATTTTCAGCCGTATATCTCAAAAGCAGCGATTGCAACGGCCGCCGAAAACTAGAAAGATTTGTATGAGAAAAACTGCTCTTGCCACCCAGTCACGCGGTTTTCCATACAACTCCTTGTAAATTCTTAAACTTTTAAACTGTCGTTAAATCATTCCCTTTCGCATTTAAGGGCTTGAAAATGCCTTTTATGAATTAAAATGAGATTTGAGCCCCGTAATGCTTAAGGAAATATTTCACGACAGTTTGAAAATTTCGAAATTTACAAGGATTTGTATGGAAAACCATGCAAGCGTGACTGGGTGGCAAAAGTTGTTTTTCTCATACAAATGCATCTAACTTTTGGCTGCCGTTGCAATCGCTACTTTTGAGATATACGGTTGAAAATTTACAGGTTACCAAATTTTTTGTTCACCTCGTGCTAACAAAATTTTTTAAAAGCGAACTGTTTTCGTGTTTGCCAAAAGTTGATCACGTGATCAACTAATGCAAAAGGCCTATTGGACAAATGATAATAAATAAAGAAAAATAAAAGAAAAGAAGCATATAACGATAAAATCTCCAATAACATGATCAAAGAGTATGACCAAATTGAAGTTCAAATTGAAGACAGCTGATGAAGAAGACGATGAAAATCATACATGTAATTACTCAGTGTCTAACTCGTAGCAATCCAACAAAACTATTTGAAAAACGATGACAAATAAACTATTAAAGTCTGGAGATAACTTTAAACGGAAACTGTGGTCAAAACAAGTTTGACTCTGAGTCTTGTAACAATCGGCATCAGAAAATATTCAACGGTGGGGCTTACAGGAATAGTTTAGACCGTCGAACTCCTCAGTCTCTTTTTTTCTGGTACAATGATCTGTATCCCTTGATTTTTAGCTTAAATCTGCATGTTGACAAAAAGAGGACTTATGAGAGCCATTTTTGCTTCATCTTTGCCAGTCAATCAGTACTAAGCTGTATACTAACTTCCTTTACTGGTGATTGGTAATGGTATCAACAAATCTTGTGAGTCCAGAAAATTTTGCGTATAGATTTAGTGTGTTTATGTGTTCATGGCGCAGAGTAAAACAAAACCAAAGATGAACATGCAAAAATCTTGTTTTGGGAACAGGCAGTTTATTCAAGTATTATCTTTCCTTACATAAAATAAACCACTGGATATATCTAATCAGGGGCTCATATTGATACACTCATCTACTGTCCATATCAAAGATCGAAAAAGAACGCTTAAGTTACAAACAACTTAAACAAAAAACGTACAACTAGAAACTGCCTATGGAGCAGGGCTATGAAGTGGGTGGGCGAGAAACTTCATATTCAAATGTAACTAGCCTGTGTACAGAAGTCCTCCTCCTCTTAGAAATAAAGGGAGTGAATCGTCTGTACACAGGCTAATTGTAACTAGAAAAGCTTAATCTTGCTTGCTTGCTTGCTTTGATACTCAAGTGCGCTGAAATTATAAAGCCTTAGTCTAATAATATCAAAAATTAAGCACTATAGTCGTACATGCTAGGGTGGTGTATTACAATTGGTTCTCTGTAGTCTTGTGACTCTCATATATACAATGTATGTTGCTCAATTCTGAAATAGGCCCACTCCAGTCAATTTTAAAACTGCTCGTTCCTAGCCCAGACCTCTCCACCGTTATTAGTGTCTAGATTTATATAACTGAAATTAATATTCACTAAAACAAACAAAAATCGACCACTTAATGATCTTTTTTTCTCATGAGTGCATGATGGCTACTTCAAAGTAAACTGCCTTAATTGTGCTTAAGTGACTGAAATTAAAACGAACATAGTCAGAAGATGGGGTGTCTATTTGCAGCTTTAGACCGCTGCATCGATCAAGCAGATAGGATCAAAATTGCGCAGAGAAATTATTAGTACTCCCTGTAGTCACTTTGTCTGGTTTTCAAAGCAGCGAGGCGGACTGACAGATGAGGGAGGGGGGAAATTGTTTGATCACAGAGGTAGATAGTGACTTTTCCCATCCTTCTCCATCAAGTACTCTAAGTTAATTCCTGTGCTCTTGTACCCCGAGTAAACGCCTGCAGCACATGCAGGACAGGTTGTCTATCACAGTGAAGGCTTTAACCTGACAAATATAACAATAATCTTTCTCCTGGCAAACACCTCGCTATTACCGACACCAAGCTGAAAAGAAAATCAACTGAATCCGCGGCAAGTGTTTCATGCGTTTATGACTGTATAAAGGTGCCGAACTCTCGTCATTGCAAAAATATATTTTTTTAACTTTTTAAACTTCATTTATATAACCCATTGACGCCCGGCACTTTTTACGTTTTCGGACAAGTAATTTTCTTCATACAAACAAGCCATAGGACTTTCGTGACTCCGTATCTAGACTTTATGATACCATGGAAAATAGTGCTGTTCTAACACATTGAAGGCTCGAGTTAAAACATTAGTCAAAGCGCTGTGATGCAACATGGAAAGCTTTCC